GGGACTAGAGGCACATTCCACCACACCTGGCTAGTTTTTGGTATTTTTTGTAGAGATGGGGTCATGCCATATTGCCCAGACTGGTCTAAAACTCCTGGGCTCAAGGGATCCTCCTGCCTCAGACTCCCAAAGTGCTGGGGTTACAGGCATGAGCCACCATGCCCAGCCCTGATGTGAGAATTTCTGACTCTGTCCTGGAGTGAGGCACAGCCAGGGTAGGGCTCTGAGCCAGCAGGGCCCTCACCTCACTCAGGTGGTCCCAGGCTCCCTCTGGCTCCATGAGGGGAGCAGACAGAAGGGAGCAGGGAGGCCAGGGAGAGGCTGCTGGGGTGACCAGGTGGGAGAGGCTGGATGCTGGGCCAAGGCGGGGGCAATGGAGGAGAAGAGTTTAGGTTCTGTAGGTGGAGCCAATATCTGCTCACAGGTTGGAGTGGGTGTGAAGGAGAGAGGCAAAGGACCACCCTGGGTGTCTGGCCTTAGTCACTGGAAGGACAGAGCTGCCACTGATCTAGGTGGGGAAGGTGGCAAGCGAGCAGGTTCTGGAGGAAGGCAGGAAGCTCAGTTTAGGATGTATAAAGCTTAAAATGCCTCTAAGATCTGCCATCCTTTGAACACGTTGCAGGATGTAGGAGCCTGGGGTTTGCAGGAGGTGTCTGGGCTGGAGATAGAAATTTGGGGGTTAGGACCAGGTGCAGTGGCTTACACCTGTAATCCTAGCCTTTTTGGAAGCCGTGGTGGGAGGATCACTTGAACTCAGGAGTTCAAGACCAGCCTGGGCAACACAGCAAGACTTCATGTCTACAAATAACTTAAAAAGAAAAAAGACAGGCCGGGCGCCGTGGCTCAAGCCTGTGATCCCAGCACTTTGGGAGGCCGAGGCGGGTGGATCACGAGGTCAAGAGATCGAGACCATCTTGGTCAACACGGTGAAACCCCGTCTCTACTAAAAATACAAAAAATTAGCTGGGCATGGTGGCGCGTGCCTGTAATCCCAGCTACTCAGGAGGCTGAGGCAGGAGAATTGCCTGAACCCGGGAGGCGGAGGTTGCGGTGAGCCGAGATCGCGCCATTGCACTCCAGCCTGCGTAACAAGAGCGAAACTCTGTCTCAAAAAAAAAAAAAAAAAGAAAGAAAAAAGAAAAAAGACAAAGGAAATTTGGGTGTTGGCCGGGCATGGTAGCTTGTGCCTGTAGCAGTAGCTATTCAGGAGGTTGAGGCAGGAGGAGGATTCCTTGAGGCCAGGAGTTACAGGCTGCAGTGAGCTACAATCGTGTCACTGCATTCCAGCCTGGGCGACAGAGCCCCTGCCTCTAAGAACAAAACAAAAAGCTGGGTGTCGATAGCCTAGAGATAGGATTTAAGCTGTGCATGTAGGGGAGGTACCTCATGGCATGAGTGGTACAGAGAGGACAGGGTCCTGACACCTGGGGCTGGCCGGGAATAAGAGGTTAGGGGCCAGAACTAAATGACAATATGGTTAATTGTCAGTGAGTGCTGTGAGAAAGTACAAGTCATTTTGAAAGCAAATCACTGGAAGAAGCCTCACCTAGTCTCAGGTTGGGTGGAGACAGGGAGGGCTTCCTGGAAGAGATGACTCCTGAGCTGACACCCGAAGCTTGAGTAGCTACACAACGAGGCCAGAAAAAAAAGGGGGGGGCAGCAGGAGAGTTCCCGGCTGAGGGCATGGAGCCTGGCAGCAAATCAGCCCGGGAGAGAGCGGAGCAGTCAGTCTGGCAGGGAGGGGTGTGGTGAGAAGAGAATCTGGATTAGTCATCACCAATAGATTTGTTATCAGCCAAGCCAGGTCCAGATCTGGTTCTGCCACCCTCCGTGACCCTGCCTTTCAGAATCTCCATTTGCTCTCCTGCCTCGCAGATAAGGATTGTGTAGCAGTTACCTTGGCCTGGCTCCAGCAAGGCCTCAGGAAACACTAGCTGCAACGAGTTTTGTCTGTTGTGATCTTGTTATGTGAGCTACTATCATATGCATTAAATTATTGTTATTATTTTTTGAGACAGAGTGTTGCTCTGTCACCCAGGCTGGAGTGTAATGGCATGATCTCCGCTCACTGCAATCTCTGCCTCTGAGTTCAAGCGATTCTCCTGCTATAGCCTCCTGAGTAGCTGGGATTACAGGCATGCACTACCATGCCCGGCTAATTTTTGTATTATTAGTAGAGATGGGGTTTCACTGTGTTGGCCAGGCTGGTCTCAAACTCCTGACCTCAGGTGATCCACCCGCCTCGGCCTCCCAAAGTGTTGGGATTATAGGCGTGAGCCACTGCGCCCAGCCAATATATTCATTATGTTATTAACATATAGGGTAGGCCGGGCGCGGTGGCTCAAGCCTGTAATCCCAGCACTTTGGGAGGCCGAGGCGGGTGGATCACAAGGTCGAGAGATCGAGACCAACCTGGTCAACATGGTGAAACCCCGTCTCTACTAAAAATACAAAAAAATTAGCTGGGCATGGTGGCGCGTGCCTGTAATCCCAGCTACTCAGGAGGCTGAGGCAGGAGAATTGCCTGAACCCAGGAGGCGGAGGTTGCGGTGAGCCGAGATCGCGCCATTGCACTCCAGCCTGGGTAACAAGAGCGAAACTCCGTCTCAAAAAAAAAAACAAACATATAGGGTAGTGGTTAAGGATACAGGCTAGGGAGCGTGGCTGCCTGGGTTTAACCTCAGAGGTTTACTTATCTGTAAAATGGGGATAATAAATAGCATGGATGTCACAGGGCTGTTAGGAGAACGAGGGAGCTGATGGACATAAAGCACTTGCACGAGCTTGACAATTACGTGTTTTTGTATTATTTAAGGATGACTAAGGAGTCCACTAGCTGAGGAATACAGGGGGCCTGCAGACTGAGGGAACAGCTTGGGCAGACACAGACACAGAGCTAGTAGCTGTTATTTACAAAGCATTTACCACCTATTTATTTAGATGGAGTTTTGCTCTTGTTGCCCAGGCTGGAGTGCAATGGTGCAATCTCGGCTCACCGCAACCTTCGCCTCCCAGGTTCAACTGATTCTCCTGTCTCAGACTCCCAAGTAGCTGGGATTAGAGGTGCCCACCACTACACCCAGTTAATTTTGTATTTTTCAGTAGAGACAGTGTTTCTCCATATTGGTCAGGCTGGTCTCGAACCCCTGGCTTCAGGTAATCTACCCGCCTCAGCCTCCCAAAGTGCTGGGATTACAGGGGTGAGCCACTGCATCGGTTATTTATGTTTTTGAGACAGAGTCTCACTCTGTCACCCAGATTGTAATGCAGTGGCATGATCTTGGCTCACTGCAACCTCCACCTCCTGGGCTCTGTCGATCTTCCCACCTCAGTCTCCAGAGTAGCTGGGACGAGGTGCATGCCACCACGCTCAGCTAATTTCTGTATTATTATTATTATTTGTAGAGACAAGGGCTCATTAGATCAGCCAGGCTGGTCTCAAACTCTTGGGCTCAAGAGATCCTCCTGTCTCAGCCTCCCAAAGTGTGGAGATTACAGGCGTGAGCCACGGTGCCCAGTCGTTGCTTAATTTCTTTTGTAAATCAGTATTCCTGCAGCTGTCATTTAATTCTGATAGGTGCCTAGTGGTATGGAGCAAGCCATGTTCCCATTTTACAGATGAGAAAATCGCTGCTCAAGAACATCAAGTCACTCTTTCAGTTATTACAGGCACACCAGGATTCAACTCAAGCCTAGCCAGCCTCCAGGGTAGGGGCTAAGAGTCAGCCAGCCTGTATGGGGGCCAGATTTAGCTCCCTGCAGGAGTCCTGAAATGCTGTAGCCTGTAATCCGAGCACTTTGGGAGCCCAAGGCAAGTGGATCGCCTAAGGTCAGAAGTTTATCAGCCTGACCAACGGGGTTTCGCCATGTTGATCATGATTCGCCATGATTCATGATTTGCCATGAATCTCGCTATCTCCCAGGCTGGAGCTCACATGGCTTGATCTTGGCTCACTGCAACCTATGCCTCCCCAGTTCTAGCGATTCTCTTGCCTCAGCCACCCGAGTAGCTGGGATTACAGGCATGTACCACCAGGCCCAGATAATTTTTGTATTTTTAGTTGAAACGGAGGCTCGCTCTGTCGCCAGGCTGGAGTGCAGTGGTGCGATCTTGGCTCACTGCAACCTATTCCTTTTGGGTTCAAGCGACTATCCTGCCCCAGCCTCCTGAGTAGCTGGGACTACAGGCATGCATCACCACGCCCAGCTAATTTTTGTATTTTTTTAGTAGAGACCGGGTTTCACCATGTTGGCCAGGATGGTCTCGATCCGATCTCTTGACCTCGTGATCCACCCCCATCGGCCTCCCAAAGTGCTGGGATTACAAGCGTGAGCCACCGCACCTGGCCATATTTTTTAAGTAAATAAAGAAACCAGGTCGTGACCAAAGGAATCTTCCTGTGTCTGAGGACTTTTGAGACTGGCATAGAGGATACCCTTTGGGCTGGTCCAGCAAACAACGATTCCGGTGGCCCCTGACCGGGGCGGAGCGTCGTTAAGGGGAGCTTGGAAGGGGGCGAAGGCCCTGCCTGCGGTTTGACCGCCATCCGCGCTGCTGCAGGCACCGGCAAAGGCAGTCCAGCCTAAGTCCTCGCCAAAGACTCGAGCGTACAGCCAAACCATACTCCAGGCCTCCAGGAGCTGTTTGTCGCGACAAGACCTGGAGAGGGCCGTGTGGAGTTCCTTAGTGAGTGGACCGAAAACCGAAACTCTGGAAGGGTATAGGCAGGCAGGCCCTGGGGCGAAAACTCACATTACGACACTGGGAGGGGGGCGGGTCCCCTCCGAGTTCTCGCCCGCGGGCGCCTCAACCCAGACCTGAGGGGTGTAGGTCAGACTCAGCCTACCGAGTCAGGGCGAGCTTAGGACCTCCAGCGCTAGAAACGCGCAGGGCGGAGTCCAGATTCGCGTCCCGCCAGCCTGGGCGTGTTGGGGTGCGTTTGCGCAGTTTTCACTTCGGCTCTAGGACCGCGCGGGCAACTGCGGGGCCGCCGTGCAGAGTCAGACCGGAGAGTTGCAGCCTGAGTCACCGGCCCCGCCCTTCGGAGCCGGACGCAGCAGGAGGCCGGGGAGCGGCAGCGGAACGGACCCCACGGGACCTCCGGACCTGTGCGGTGGTAAGCGCCCGGCCCGTACCCCCTCCCCGCCCTGCAATCCTGGCCCTGGCGGTCCCCAGACCCGGCGAGACCGTGAAGTCTCGGCCTCAGGGGTCCCCAGATCCATGGTCTCAGATTCAAACCCCCAGACCTGTTCTACCCAATTTTAAGCCGTCCTGGGGACCCTTCCCCACCCTCTGTCTCATGATCCAAAATGCAGGCCCATAGATTTCCGAGATACCCCGTGAATTCTTCCTTGGTGCGTTCTGAACCGCGATCGAAGATCTGTGCCCCCAGTTCCAGCGGGGGACCCCATTATCCGGGACCCCGGGGATCACAGCCACGATCTTAGACCCAAGCCCACAGACCCAAAGGTGACACTGGAATCCTGCCGCTGGGAACATGTAAATTCTCAAGCCGGCTTTGGGAGTTCCTAAACCCCGCCCTGGGGCCCTTTAGGCCGTGGATGTTTGCTCCGCGCCCATGACCCGCCAAGGACCTCTCCGTTCAGTTCCGTCGGGCACGTCTTACACCAACTTGGAGTCCCCACCAAGAGAACCCCCACCAGACCTGCACCCTCCGCTTAACGCGTGCGCGCAGCCCAGGCTCCCTCAAGCCCCACGGGTGCCTTTTAGACCCCAGGAGGTTGCAAACCTGATTCCCCGTTCCTGCCCCACCCATCCGAGGACAGTCCACCCTCGCAGGCTCAGACCCCCACCGGGGGCCTCAGATTCCTCCTCGAGGTCCAGCTGCCGGAAATGCGTGTTTGAGGGAAGGGTGTGGGCTCAGGCCGACGCAACCACCCGTCCCTTTTTTCCCCCCAGCAGTGAGTCGCAGCCATGTTCCTGGTTAACTCGTTCTTAAAGGGCGGCGGCGGCGGCGGCGGCGGGGGAGGCGGGGGCCTGGGTGGGGGCCTGGGGAATGTGCTTGGAGGCCTGATCAGCGGGGCCGGGGGCGGCGGCGGCGGCGGCGGTGGTGGAGGCGGCGGTGGCGGTGGAACGGCCATGCGCATCCTAGGCGGAGTTATCAGCGCCATCAGGTGAGGTGGAGACTCTTGGAGGGGCGGGGGCTAGGAGCGGGGGGGGGGGGGGCGCCTCAGAAGGGGCGGGGCCTGGGGAGGAGCGTCATCTAACTAGACTAGAATTAACCTGAGGCAGACCTGGGTACCTGAATTAGGCAGGGGTGGCCTGGTTTGGGAGTCCTGCCATAAAGGGGTGGACCCCAATGAAGCTGATATCAGTTCTTGGGGGCAGGACACAATATGGGAGTGGTCTGATTGTGTGGGTTCAGGACGATGTGGTCCTCAGAGTACTGATCTGGAGGTTTGGGGGCGGGGCTTATGGATCTGGGCCCGGCCTGCATTGGCTACCCTGGAAACTAACGTTAAAGGGGCGGAGCCAATGCGTCGGAGTGACATTTTACAGAAGGGGCTCGACTTATGAGTGCGGTGAGAGGTTTTAGGTGGGTTAATGAGGATGTGAGCTCAGGAGTAACCAAGGCCTAATGGGATAGGAGAAATGGCCCAAAATGGGCTGGGCCTGCTGGAAACTGGCTGGATTCACGTAAAAAAATGTCCTGATAGGGGTAAGGCAGGTTGGCCTAATTAGCCATGGCCACTTAACAGTGATCCCTTGAAGGGGCGGGGACCTATGGATGGGGTAGGATGTTGGGAAGATAGCCATTTAGAAAGCCGGCCAGGGCCGGGCGCGGTGGCTCAAGCCTGTAATCCCAGCACTTTGGGAGGCCGAGGCGGGTGGATCACGAGGTCAAGAGATCGAGACCATCCTGGTCAACATGGTGAAACCCCGTCTCTACTAAAAATACAAAAAATTAGGTGGGCATGGTGGCGTGTGCCTGTAATCCCAGCTACTCAGGAGGCTGAGGCAGGAGAATTGCCTGAACCCAGGAGGCGGAGGTTGCGGTGAGCCGAGATCGCGCCATTGCACTCCAGCCTGGGTAACAAGAGCGAAACTCCGCCTCAAAAAAAAAAAAAAAAAAAAAAAAAAAGAAAGCCGGCCATGGAGTGGGGTCTTGGGCAGAAGGCAGCGAAGGAGGATGAGGCCTTGGGAAGCTGGGGCAGAGCCTCTATAAAGTGAGCTCTCCGAGGGGCAGGGTCTATTGATTCTGTGTGGGATTTTTAGGTTGAGGGTGGCCAAGAGGACTGGACTCTGCCATTGGGTAGGTATGCCTGGCGGGAGTGGAGCCTCCCAGGGCAGGGTTGGCCTGATAAAAGGAGAAGGGGGCCAGACCAGGGCATTGTGGATTAGGACAGGTGAAGATAAGAACAGGTGAGGGGCACAGCAACCAAGTAAGGAAGGTGGCCTTGGGGCTAATGGTTCTGCTGCTCTGCCCGTTGGAGGCCCCACCAGGCGCTAACTCCTCCCCCTTATCTCTTTGCAGCGAGGCGGCCGCGCAGTATAACCCGGAGCCCCCGGTAAGCCCCTCTGCAGCCAGCCCCATTTCTCCCTCCAAGGCCTCTTCGAGGTCCCATCCCTGTTCCTGTTGGGGAGCCCCACCTTCCACCCCTTCTTGTGACTTTCCTCTGCCAGTTCCTCCCGGGCCATGTCCGCAGCTTCGCCATGGGTTTTCGCCATCGCTGACATCCGCACTCCTCATTCTTTTTTTCTCATCGAGCCACCCATCCCACTATGACTTCCCCACCCAGGGTGCCTCGATGTGAGGAGCTGTCCTGGGCGGGTCTCCTCCCCCTACCAGCTCTGAGCTCTCCTCCCTCTGCAGCCCCCACGCACACATTACTCCAACATTGAGGCCAACGAGAGTGAGGAGGTCCGGCAGTTCCGGAGACTCTTTGCCCAGCTGGCTGGAGATGTAAGTAACCTGGGGTCCCTGGCCCTGTCCTAACCCTTCCATCCCTTCCCTTGTGGTTACGTAACAATCCCAGTGTTCCCTTTCTCCATGACATTTTCAGACCCCTTTCAGTCACCCCTGACCTCCCCCTAACTTCCGCCTGCAGGACATGGAGGTCAGTGCCACAGAACTCATGAACATTCTCAACAAGGTCGTAACACGACGTAAGTGACCAGGGTCAAGGCATAAAGCAGGTTTAGAGGCAGAGGGGCTGGAGTGGCTTTGACCTCTGGCCTCTGACTTTTAACCTGTTGCCCACAGACCCTGATCTGAAGACTGATGGTTTTGGCATTGACACATGTCGCAGCATGGTGGCCGTGATGGATGTATCCTTGGCGGTAGTGTAGGGGAGGCTCTGGGTGCACAGGGAGTTTTTGAAGAGTATGTTTGGGAAGCCAAAGTGTAGCATTCCTATCTGCAGATGTGTAAATGCATACGTCAGAACAAACTCACCTACAGACATGTGGCAGTAAATCATAACAATACCACTGTCCGGCTGGGCACGGTGGCTCAAGCCTGTAATCCCAGCACTTTGGGAGGCCGAGGCGGGTGGATCACGACGTCGAGAGATCAAGACCATCCTGGTCAACATGGTGAAACCCCGTTTCTACTAAAAGTGCAAAAAATTAGCTGGGCATGGTGGCACGTGCCTGTAATCCCAGCTACTCAGGAGGCTGAGGCAGGAGAATTGCCTGAACCCAGGAGGCGGAGGTTGCGGTGAGCCGAGATGGCGCCATTGCACTCCAGCCTGGGCAACAAGAGCGAAACTCCGTCTCAAAAAAAAAAAAAAAAAAATACCACTGTCACAGCTGGCATTTTAATTATATAAAGTGACCAAATCTTCACAACCACCTTGTTGGACAGGCACAATTTTTTTTTTTTTTTTTTTTTTAGACGGAGTTTCGCTCTTGTTACCCAGGCTGGAGTGCAATGGCGCCATCTCGGCTCACCGCAACCTCCGCCTCCTGGGTTCAGGCAATTCTCCTGCCTCAGCCTCCTGAGTAGCTGGGATTACAGGCACGGGACAGGCACAATTATTATACTCCATTTTACAGATGAGAAAACTGAAGCTCAGAGAGAAACAGTCATTTGTCTCAAGTTACAAATAAAGGTCGGGCGTGGTGGCTCCACCTGTAATCCCAAAACTGGGAGGCCGAGGCAGACAGATTACCTGAGGTCAGGAGTTCGACACCAGCCTGGCCAACATGGTGAAACCCCATCTCTACTAAGATACAAAAATTAGCCAGGTGTGGTAGCAGGCACTTGTAGTCCCAGCTACTCAGGAGGCTGAGGCAGGAGAAGAATCCCTTGAACTTGGGAAGCAGACGTTGCAGTGAGCCAAGATCACGCCACTGCACTTCAGCCTAGGTGACAGAGCAAGACTCCATCTCGGGAAAAATAAGTAAATAAATTAGCCAGGTATGGTGGTGGGCACCTGTAGTTCCAGCTACCTAGGAGGCCGAGGCAGGAGGATCACTTGAACCCAGGAGGTAGAGGTTGCAGCGAGCCAAGATTGCACCACTGCACTCCAGCCTGTGCAGCAGAGCTAGACTCCATCTCAGAAAAAGTTATGAGCTGGTGTGGTGGCTTATGCCTGTAATCCCAGCACTTTGAGAGACCCTGAAGTCAGGAGTTCAAAACTAGCCTGGCCAATATGGTAAAACCCCATCTCTATTAAATACAAAAATAAGCTGGGCATGATGGTGCACACTCGTAGTCCCAGCTACTCGGGAGGCTGAGGCAGGACAATCACTTGAACCCAGGAGGTGGAGGTTGCAGTGAGCGGAGATTGAGTCACTGCACTCCAGCCTGGGCAACAGAGGAAGACTCTGTCTAAAAAAAAAAAGATTATAAATAAAGAGCAGGTGGCAGGATAGGAATTTGGACTCAGGTCTTTTGGGCTTGACAACCCAGTTTATAACAGCCACATGCACATATACACACACACACCCCCAAGAGCACACCCACATACATGAAGGTGTATGAAGCAGTGTGCACAGGAATACATGGACATTTGTACGTGGGCCAGCAGTTACCTGATCTTGGATACATGTACATTTTTATTTATTTTTGTTTTAAAAAAATACAGAGACAAGCTTTTACTATATTGACTTGGCAAGTCTTGAACTCCTAACCTCAAGAAATCCTCCCACCTCAGCCTCTCAAAGTGGGATTATAGGCCTGAGGCACTGTGCCTGGCCTCATGTACATTTAACACACAGGGCAATACAGACACACACATATATATTGTGTCATGTGAGATATTCACAGACATATTACATTTGAGTGAAGCAATCTCAACTCTGCCCCTTAACCAGGTTGCTGAACCTCTCTATGCCTCAATTTTCCTGTCTGTAAAATGGGTGAATGATAATGGTGATACTGAATTGGAACTACATGCAAAAGGTTTAGCACAGTGCATAGTGCATAGTACATGGTCTGTACACATTAGTTCTTTGTTTTTCTTTTTGAGATGAAGTCTCCCTCTGTCGCCAGTCTGGAGTTCAGTGGCGCGATCTTCTCTCACTGCGACCTCCACCTTCTGGTTTCAAGCAATTCTCCTGCCTCAGCCTCCCGAGTAGCTGGGATTACAGGCATGTGCCACCACCACACCTGGCTAATTTTGTATTTATAGTAGAGATGGGGTTTCTCCATGTTGGTCAGGCTGGTCTCGAACTCCTGACCTCAGGTGATCCACCCGCCTCAGCCTCCCATAGTGCTGGGATTACAGGTGTGAGGCACTGCACCTGGCCTTTTTTTTTTTTTTTTTTTAATTATTTATTTATTTTTAAAGACAGGGTTTCACTATGTTGGTCAGGCTAGTATTGAACTCCTGACCTCAGGTGATCTGCCTGCCTTGGCCTCCAAAGTGTTTGGATTATAGGTGTGAGCCACCACGCCTGGCCTTTTTCTTTTTTTTTTTTTTTAATGAGACAGAGTCTTGTTCTGTTGTCAGGCACCAAGCTTGGGTGCAGTGGCACAATCTTGGCTCACTGCAATTCCCGCCTCCTGGGTTCAAGCAATTCTCCTGCCTCAGCCTCCCGGGTAGCTGGGACTACAGGTGCGCGCCACCACGCCTGGCTAATTTTTGTATTTTTTAGTAGAGACGGGGTTTCACCATGTTTGCCAGGATGGTCTTGATCTCTCTCTCTTTTTTTTTTTTTGAGACGGAGTTTCACTCTTGTTACCCAGGCTGGAGTGCAATGGCGCGATCTTGGCTCATCGCAACCTCTGCCTCCTGGGTTCAGGCAATTCTCCTGCCTCAGCCTCCTGAGTAGCTGGGATTACAGGCACGTGCCACCATGCCCATCTAATTTTTTTGTATTTTTAGTAGAGACGGGGTTTCACCATGTTGACCAGGATGGTCTGGATCTCTTGACCTTGTGATCCACCGGCCTCGGCCTCCCAAAGTGCTGGGATTACAGGCTTGAGCCACCGCGCCCGGCCTGGTCTTGATCTCTTAACCTTGTGATCCACCCACCTAGGCCTCCCAAAGTGCTGGCATTATAGGCGTGAGCCACGGCGCCTGGCCGAGACAGAGTTTCATTCTGTTGCCCAGCCTGAAGTACAGTGGCACCATCTCAGCTCACTGCAACTTTCACCTCGTAGGATTGAGCGATTTTCCTCCCTCAGCCTCCTGAGTACCTGGGATGACAGGTGTATGCCACCACACCCAGCTAATTTTTATATTTTTAGTAGAGGCAGGGTTTCACCGTGTTGGCCAGGCTGGTCTTGAACTCCTGACTTCAGAGTGATCCACCCACCTCAGCTTCCCAAAGTGCTGGATTACAAGTGTGAGCCACTGTGCCTGGCCTATCAAGAATGTTCTGGCTGGGTGCGGTGGCTCAAGCCTGTAATCCCAGCACTTTGGGAGGCCGAGGCGGGTGGATCACGAGGTCAAGAGATTGAGACCATGCTGGTCAACATGGTGAAACCCCGTCTCTACTAAAAATACAAAAATATCAGCTGGGCATGGTGGCACGTGCCTGTAATCCCAGCTACTCAGGAGGCTGAGGCAGGAGAATTGCCTGAACCCAGGAGGCAGAGGTTGTGGTGAGCTGAGATCGTGCCATTGCACTCCAGCCTGGGTAACAAGAGCGAAACTCTGTCTCAAAAAGAATTTTCTGAATGAGCAATTAACAACTCTTTTCAGGCAACAAATTTGTACTTTAGAGTAGTTGAATATAATTTCTGACGGTTATGTTTAAAGAGAATCCTTATTTAGAAATATAAGTGAAAATATGTATGTATAAAATGAAAAATAAAACCACATGCCAGGTGATGTGACGAGGGCTGAGCGGGAGTTGGAGTGTCAGCCCTGGCTCCCCTGCTTGCTGTGTCACCATCGTGTCCACACTGCATGTGGTGCGTGCATCTGGGTGTAGCTGTCACTCTTCTTAACACCCTCCCACCAGAGCGACACCACAGGCAAGCTGGGATTCGAGGAGTTCAAGTACCTGTGGAACAACATCAAAAGGTGGCAGGTGTGTAGCAACCTCTGAAATCGCTGGTACCCAGACCCCCTAGCCACAGAGACACCATGCCCCACCATGCTCACTTGGACCCTATCTCTCTGTCCCCTCAGGCCATATACAAACAGTTTGACACTGACCGGTCAGGGACCATCTGCAGCAGTGAACTCCCAGGGGCCTTTGAGGCTGCAGGTATGGCCAGCAGGGACGTGGTGGGGCTGGGAGTGGGATGGGTGAGAAAACCTCCACTCAGCTGGTCTGGGCCTGACTCCTGGGCACGGGAGCGGGTTGGCCCATGTGACCCCCACACCTGAAGGACGAAATCCATCTCAGGGTTCCACCTCAACGAGCATCTCTACAACATGATCATCAGACGCTACTCAGATGAAAGTGGGAACATGGATTTTGACAACTTCATCAGCTGCTTGGTCAGGCTGGATGCCATGTTCCGTGAGTGACGCCCCAGCTGTCTTCCTGGGTGGGGATTCCTGTGACTTCTGTGGGCCAATGTCTCCTCTAAGCCTGACTGAGGTGGACGATGCTGGGGGCATGGCAGTGACTGAATCAGCCCCCGTTTCTGCCCTCATGGAGCGCACAGTCTAGTGGTGAAGAGATAAATCCCCAGACACTAATAGTTCAGACTGGTGATGGCTGGGAGAGGGGAAGCTCAGGGCAGAGTGATGGGTTGTGATGGGGGCAGCACAGGCCAAAGGTCTAGGGCTCTGGTTGGGGAAAGAGTGGGCAGAGCATGCTCAGATGTGTTTGGGGAAGCCTAGAGGGCAAATCCAACCCAGGAGGCACCTGATGCAGCCCAGGGGGTCAGGGAGGGCTCCTGGACAGGGAGCATTGAGTCCTGAGGGATGAGAGACTTAGTGAGAAGGTAGGGAATGCAGGTGCAGGCTGAGGGAACAGACTGTGCAAAGGCCTAGGAGGGAAAGAAGCTGGGGCTTCTGGTGCTTTTTGTTAGATTTCTTTCTTTCTTTTTTTTTTTTTTTTTTGAGACAGAGTCTCGCTCTTGTTGTCCAGGCTGGAGTGCAATGGCACAATCTTGGCTCACTGCAGCCTCCTCCTCCTGGGTTCAAGTGATTCTCCTGCCTCAGCCTCCTGAGTAGCTGGATTACAGGCACCACCATGCCCATAATTTTTCTATTTTAAGTAGAGACAGGGGTTTCACCATGTTGGCCAGGCTGGTGTCGAACTCCTGACCTCAGGTGATTCACCCACCTTGTCCTCCCAAAGTGCTGGGATTGCAGGCATGAGCTGCTGCGCCTGGCCAGGATTTATTTTATTTTATTTTATTTTATTTTATTTTTATTTATTTTTTTTTTTTTGAGACTGAGTTTCGCTCTTGTTACCCAGGCTGGAGTGCAATGGCGCGATCTCGGCTCACCGCAACCTCCACCTCCTGGGTTCAGGCAATTCTCCTGCCTCAGCCTCCTGGGTAGCTGGGATTACAGGCACGCGCCACCATGCCCAGCTAATTTTTTTTTTAATTTTTTTATTTTTAGTAGAGACGGGGTTTCACCATGTTGACCAGGACGGTCTCAATCTCTTGACCTCGTGATCCACCCGCCTCAGCCTCCCAAAGTGGGATTACAGGCTTGAGCCACTGCGCCCGGCCCAGGATTTATTTTAAAGAGTGCTTAAGCTAGGGTGCAGTGGAGAAGCAGACAGTTGGGAGGCGCAGTAGGGACTAGATCATGAGGGCTTTTATGAGTTTTTTGTTTGTTTTTAAGAGACAAGGTCTCTGTCTTCGAGGCTGGAGTGCAGTGGCACGATCATGGCTCACACAGCCTCAACCTCCTAGGCTCCAGCAGTCCTCCAGCCTCAGCTTACTGAATACCTGGGACTACAGGCACACACCACCATGCCTTGTTGGCGACCTTCGTGGTCGCTAGATGTCGGGGACCGTCCGGGACGGGTAGGCACGTCTGCCGGGGGTCTCTCGACCTGCAAGAGGGTCCCAATACCTGGAAGAGAGAGTGCGCTTGAGCGGGGATCTGGAGGGCTGATAGGCCGTGCCTAAACAGCAAATTTTATTTTTCAAAGGCCAGGAATAAATACACTTTCTTGGCTCTGGTTTACGTCATTGCAAGAGGAAATGCAAATGTATACCTTACATGGCCTATACAATTGAAAAGTCAGATACACAATCAGTGGTTGTAAAAAGTAACAGAATTTCCTGTGATCACAAAGCTTGTTTACATCCAGACATTATTCCTCCTGGCTGCAGGTATCTCTGGTTTGATCTTGTTTTAGAACTGAGATGTGAAAAGGTTTTCTGGTTTTCCTCATCAGAATATCTTTTAACCGGATTCTCCTTTGTCTACTCCTGACTCAACTTATCTCAACTTCCCCATTCAGGAGTCTCTGAGTCAGAAATCAAAGCCATCCCTTATGGTGGCATTTGCTTTGCAAATATCCCGACAGTTAAACCATTATCTAGGGTAGCAGGCAGTCAGGCAAGTAAAGAAAAGGTTTAAACTTATTCTTAAAGAAAGAGTTATAAAAAGTTAAAAGCAGGAACCGGTTGCTGGCAGGGGGTTGCTGGACAGGGGGTCACTTGGTCTAGCAGCACCGCATAGTTTTAGGCCCAAACGATATTGTGGTTGATATTAGAAACTGATCATCCATCTTTAAGTTCCTTTCTTCCGGATAGCTCGACTGCCTCCAGTAGGAAACTGTGTTTGGGATCAAACTCACCGTATAGTGAGACTCACGCCTTTTGGGGGTCTCGCACGGGAATGTTCCCCACATGCCTGGCTAATTTTTTTTTTTTTTTTCTTTTTTTTTCTTTTTCTGAGACGGAGTTTCGCTCTTGTTACCCAGGCTGGAGTGCAATGGCGCGATCTCGGCTCACCGCAACCTCCGCCTCCTGGGTTCAGGCAATTCTCCTGCCTCAGCCTCCTGAGTAGCTCGGATTACAGGCATGTGCCACCATGCCCAGCTAATTTTTTGTATTTTTAGTAGAGACGGGGTTTCACCATATTGACCAGGATGGTCTCGATCTCTTGACCTCGTGATCCACCCGCCTCGGCCTCCCAAAGTGCTGGGATTACAGGCTTGAGCCACCGCGCCCGGCCAGCCTGGCTAATTTTTTAAATGTTTTGTGGATATAGGGTCTTGCTATGTTGCCCAGGCTGGTCTTGAACTCCTGGGCTCCAGCAGTCCTCCTACCTCAGCCTCCCAAAGCCTTGGTATTATAGGCTGCATGTGGCCTTATGAGTGTTAATGTACTGAACACTGAAGACATCACTGAGAAGTAGGAATTACTATCCTTATTTATTTATTTATTTATTTATTTTTGAGATGGAGTTTCGCTCCTTACCCAGGCTGGAGTGAGCCACTGCGCCCGGCCTTATCCTTATTTATTTTTTGAGACAGTCTCGCTCCATGTTGCCAGGCTGGAGTGCAGTGGCGTGATCTTGACTAACTGTAACCTCTGCCTCCCAGGCTCAAGCGATTTTTTTGCCTCAGCCTCCCAAGTAGCTAGGACTATAGGCATGCACCACCATGCCCAGCTAATTTTTGTATTTTTAGTAGAGATGGCGTTTCACCATGTTCGCCAGGATGGTCTTGATCTCTTGACCTCGTGATTCACCCACCTCGGCCTCCCAAAGTGCTGGGATTACAGGCACGAGGCACGGCGCTCAGCCATTACTATCCTTATTTTATGGAGGAGGAACTTAGGGTTCAAGGAGGCAAAATTTCATGTTCATAATTACCCAGCTAGGAAGTTGCAAAGCCAGAATTTGAACTTAAATCTGTCTGAGCTCTGAGCTGAGTGAGAGGAGTTAGGAGCAGTAGACATGATTAGGTCATACAGGATTGTGTGTGCCAAGTTTGGGGGTGATCAGATCTACCAGGGACATTGGGGAGCCATGGCAGGTTCTAGGCAGAGGGAGGGACAGGGTCAGGTTTGGCTTTAGAAAGATCCCTTGGCCTCTAGGCTGGGCCTGATGACTCATGCCTGTAATCCCAGCACTTTGGGAGGCTGAGGCAGGTGGATCACCTGAGGTCAGGAGTTCAAGACCAGCCTGGCCAACATGGCAAAACCACATATCTACTAACAATACAGAATTTAGCTGGGCATGCCTGTAATCACAGCTACTTGGGAGGCTGAGGCAGGAAAATCGCTTGAACCCGGGAGGCAGAGGTTGCAGTAAACCAAGATTGTGTCACTGCACTCCAGCCTGGTGACAGAGTTTAAGACTCTGTCTTACAAGAAAAACAAGAAATTCGCTGGGCTTTGTGGCACATGCCTGTAATCCCAGCTACTTGGGAGGCTGAGGCAGGAGAAACACTTGAACCTGGGAGATGGAGGTTGCAGTGAGCTGAGATCATGCCACTGCACTCCAGCCTGGGCGACAGAGTGGGACTCTGTCTCCAAAAAAAAAAAAAAAGGCCAGAGAGTGCAGGACACTGGGTGTGGACACCGGAGGGTGGTAACTGAGCGGAGACAGTGGTGTAGGCATCTTGTCTAGATTTGCTGTGGGTGGGGATCATGAGTCAAGTTTCAGGGCAGGAGTGGGACCTGCAAGACGCTAGGGACAGGAAGTCAAGTGTGCAGAGCCTCCCAGTAGCAGAGATGTCAGTAGGAGGCCGGGGCAGGGCAGAGGTGATGTCAGTACACAGAGGCCATTATTGAGCGGGGTAGCAGCTTGGATTCCAATCCTGATTTCTTCACTTTCTTGCTATGTGATCTGGGGCACGGCCCCCTCATTTTTTTCTCTCTCCTTTTCCTTTTTATATTTATTTTTGAGATGGAATCTTGCTTTGTTGCCCAGACTGGAGTGCAGTGGCGTGATAGCTCACTGCAACCTCTGCTCCCAGGTTCAAGTGATTCTCCTGTCTCAGCCTCCTGAGTAACTAGGACTACAGGCACGTGCCACCATGCCCAGCTAATTTTTGTATTTTTAGTAGAGATGGGGTTTCACCATCTTGGCCACGCTAGTCTTGAACACCTGACCTCGTGATCCTCCGGCCTCGGCCTCCCAAAGTACTAGGATTACAGGTGTGAGCCAGTGTGCCCAACCACTTTTTAGCGGAGTTTCGCTCTTGTTACCCAGGCTGGAGTGCAATGGCGCAATCTCGGCTCACCGCAACCTCTGCCTCCTGGGTTCAGGCAATTCTCCTGTCTCAGCCTCCTGAGTAGCTAGGATTACAGGCACACGCCACCCATGCCCAGCTAATTTTTTGTATTTTTTTTAGTAGAGACGGGGTTTCACCATGTTGACCAGGATGGTCTCGATTTCTTGACCTCGTGATCCACCCGCCTCAGCCTCCCAAAGTGCTGGGATTACAGGCTTGAGCCACTGCGCCCGGCCACTTTTTAGTTTTTTAAAAAACAGAGATGATGTCTCTGTTGCCTAGGTTGGTCTCGAACTCCTGGGCTGAAGCGATCCTCCCATCTTGGCCTTCCAGAGTGTTGGGATTAGAGGTGTGAGCCACCACGCCCAGCCTGTGCCTCATTTTAAAATGACACTTATATCACAGAGTTGGATTAAATGAGTTAATACCTGCAAAGCACTTTACACAGTGCTGGGCACACAGTAAATACTCAGGGAAGTGCCAGCTGCTATTAGTGTCATCCCATATACTTGTGTAATGTTATTATGCTAAAAACCAGTCTCCTTTCTTCCCTACCCTCAAACCTCCCCATCTCCTCCAGGCGCTTTCAAATCTCTTGACAAAGATGGCACTGGACAAATCCAGGTGAACATCCAGGAGGTAAGAACCCCGATTTTGGGGTGTGGGTGCCTGGGGGGACCCCATCCCTCAGCCCTTCATACCAGTCCTGAGCTTCAGTCCTGTCCCTCCTATTTTGCCAGCAGCCCCTGGGTGAGGACAGACGGGCTGGTGCTCTGGTGTTCCCTCTCCTCATTCTCTGCCCTCCTCTCCCCAGTGGCTGCAGCTGACTATGTATTCCTGAGTGGAACCCCCAGACCCACCCCCTCACCGCCTCGCTGTGGGAGTCACCTGGAGCCTCGGTCTTTCCCAGGGCCGATCCGGTCCACAGTCACATCTTCGTGGGGCCCGTTGACCTGTCAAGCTTTTGTTCTCCCAGCAATTGTTACCCAACTTTTCAACATCCAGGGCCCAACATCCCTGCCTGAGTTCCCCCTGGCTCTAGGACAGTCTAACAAGCTCTGCCCAAGGGTCTCCCCACTCCCACCACGCCCCGTGCACACCTGCTCTGTAGCCTCTCCCGTGTCCCTGTGCCAAGCCTAGCACTTGTGATGCTTCCGTGCCCCAAGGGCCCTCTCCTAGTTCTGGGAGGATGACTCCAGTCTCTGCACGCCCTGGCACACCCTTCACAGTTGCCACCCAGGCAGCCAAGCTCCAGGCCATGCCAGGCCCACGTGCCCGAGTGCCTTTGTCTATATTCTGCTCCCAGCCTGCCAGGCCCAGGAGGAAATAAATGCACCCCAGTTGCTGCTCTCTATGGGATCTGCCTCCTGATCTGAGAGAGGAGGGGTGGCTCAGGCTCTGGGTCCTGGGGAGCGCTGGAGGTGGTGGATTTGTCCGCAGGGCTGGATTCATGGATCTCCTGGTCTTTTTCTTGTCTGCATTTGTTTTCTTATCCTGAGGTGTAGCCTTGTTCTTGCTGATCCCTCTCAGATCCTGTGGAGGCTGAGACAGGACCCAGAAGCGCGGGTAATTTCTGCTTCCAGAGTCTGGGATGGAGGGAGGTCTCGGTGGTACACCTGGCTCTCTTCCCCAAGGCCACATTTGCCCCTCATGCAGCTTCTCCATCCACACATCCACACTTGGCCTCTGCTTCTGTTGTATCATCAGCCATGCTCAGTGTCTTCCTTCCCTCTTAAGGATACCACCCCATGTCCCTGGGTCCTGAGGGCCAGCCTGTGGGTGCTGTTTGGGGTACTCAGCAGAGGGTCAAGAGGTGGCAACATCCTAGGAGTAGCCCTGGTCGAGTGTAAGGCACCAAGGGCTGGGGGTAATGGGCTGGTCCACAGGGCAGAGATCCCTGGTTGGCGGGAGGATGGGTTTGGCGGGGACGGGTGCGCGCGCGCGCGCGCGCGCGCACACACACACACACACACACACACACACAGAGAGGCCAGCGTTTATTGACACTTGTCCAAGTTCCTGAGACCCTCCCAGGCTTCTTGGTCTCATTTATTGCGGGGGAAGGAGGCCCAGGCAAGGCAGTACACGCCGTAGGCAGTGCCTGGAAAGGGGAAGTCGGGGAGACAGAATGAGACTTAGTCACCTCCCTGAACATCTCGGGCTTTCACGGCCTTCTTCAGCCTCCCCAGTTCCCAGCCCGGACCCCAGCTCCCTTCCCAAATTGGACTCCCTAGTGCAAAGCCCCCTAGAGCTGATCTGCACCAGGCTGGGAGCTTCCTCCTCAACTCCTCCCTAGGCCTCAGCCTCGCCGCCGCTAGCCCAGCTCCCCTCCTGGGACGCGAGCCCAAGTCCTAGGTAGCCCGCTCCCTGCAGGCCCGGCTCCAGCTGAGCACTCCGCCCCGCTCCTAAACGCCAACCCCCAGCCAGACGCGGGTTGGTCCCGCCCGGAAGTCAGCCGCCTCCGCGCCCGGGTCCAGCCCCGCCTCTCCCGCCGCTCGGGCCGGGCCGGGCCCTGCTCTCACCGCCCAGACACAGCCCCATGGTCACTCGGTACAGGATGTGGTCAACGACGCCGCCCTTCAGGTACACCGGGATGCCATTATCCTCCTGGATGTGGGGGTGTCTGATGAGAAAGGGGTGCCGGCTGCTCCTTACAGCGCGCCCGGCGGGCGCCCCGGATCCTCCCCCGCCCTGCCCACCTGGAAGAGCTTCTGTTTCTCGGGCACTCGATTCTTTAATCGGTTCCAGGCTGTGGAGCTGAAGGAGCGGATCAGCGCCTGGGAGACCTGCGGGGTGGGAGGTGGCCGGGTATTAGAGGCACCTGGAGGGGTGTCCTGAAGGGGAATCCCGCTCTCTGAGGCCTGCACGTGGGGACAGTAGCAAGCGTCCTAAAGGGGGGACGCGAACTGCCAGCCTGGGTGAGGAGAGGACTCGCCCTGGAGTCTGGCCTGGAGGTGGACCCTGCTGCCTAGAGGGGCCTGGAAGGGAGAAGACCCAGAGGGACTTTGTTCTGGGGGGTCTAAGTCCTGAGACGTTTTTGCGGGGAGGGTTTCCTGGATTAACGGGAGGAAACCAGATCCCAGAAGCGTGGGGACCGGAATATGGAGGTCCCCGGGAGCGTCCCGGCTGCCTGAGAAGCCCCGGGTGAGGGCAGGGTGTTATATTTCCAGTGTTAACACCTCGGGATGTTAAGTTCAAACCCAGGGCTTTGGGCCAGGCTGGGGATCCCCAGCTGTCTCCGAAGCGTGGATTGTCGGGGAGGGGACTCAAGACTTTAGCAGGGAGCCCCAGGCCCTGAAGGGGGGCTCACGTTCCAAGGCCCGGGATGCAGGGGTGCTTGGAGAGTCCTGTACTAGGGCGAGGGCTTCTGGGTGGGGGGTTCCGGCCCAGCCCATGGGGGCCTCACCCGCGGGGCCAGCATTCTGCGTCGTCCTCTTCGGCCGTGGTCACCTCCCGTCTCTGCCCAAGGACACGCGCGGCCCTCACCAGTCCAGGAACCCCAGGCCCCGCCCCCTGTGCTCACCCTGTCGGCTGGGAACGTGGGGCTGGGGCTGGGGCGGTTTTGGGGGAAGCCCCGCTCCTTGGATTCGTCCACCAAGGAGGAGGCGGTCCCAACACCCCCGCCCGGGGCCGCAGCACACTTCTATTTTCGGTCTCGGAATTTTGGCCGGTCACAGCAGAGCGGAAAGCGGTACCAGGGAATACGTTTTTGCAGCTTTTTGGAGATTTCGCTGTGGGCAAGTGCAACTCTTTCCCAGGTCTCTCCTTGCCCGCTGGTATGGGAGAGCCAGAAAAGGCCTAACCAAGCCCGAGTTCAAACCCCGTGTTCTGTCTACACAGCCAGAGACTGCATCTCCGAGCCTGTTTCCGTATCTGTAACGTGAGGGCTAAGGCAGGACCTTCCTCAGAGATTTGTTGAGACGTTAAATGTCATTATTTTTAGGAAACACAAGCTGAAGTCTTTGGGGGTAAAACGGTCTTGTATCTGTTACTTACCCTGAGAAACACATCGTATCTATTTATAGCTCTCTATTTCTGGCAGGCAGCGGGTGCAGCACAGTTGTCCTCATGGTTTTAGCAACTAGGGAAGATCTGGCTGAGTCTAAAAGGTTTTCTTTTTCTTTCTTTCTTTCTTTTTTTCTTTCTTTTCTTTTTTGTTTTTAGACAGAGTTTTGCTGTCCCACAGGCTGGAGTGCAGTAGTGCAGTCATAGCTCACTGCAGCCTTGATCTTCTGGGTTCAGCGATCCTCCCGCCTCAGTCTCCTGAGTGGCTGGGACTACGTATAGGGGTGTACCACCATGCCCGACTAATTTTTGTATTTTTTGTAGAGGCTGGATTTCACCATGTTGCCCAGGCTGTCTTGAACTCCTGAGCACAAGCAATCTGCCGGCCTCAACCTCAACGCTCTGGGATTACAGGCATGACCCACCTCACCTAGCCAATAGACAGTCTTTGTCTGTCTGTTTTTGAGGCAGCGTCTTGCTGTGTTGTCCAGGCTGGTCTCCAACTCCTCCAAGTAATTCTCCCACCTCTACCTCCCAAAATACTGGAATTAGAGGTGTGAACTCTGCACCCAGCTTATAAAAGATTTTAACAATCTTATTTATTTATTTATTTATTTGTTATTTTTTTTAGATAGAATCTTGCTCTGTCACCCAGGGTGTTGTGTAGTGGTGCCATCTTGGTTCACTGCAATCTCTACCTCCTGGCTTTAGGTGATTCTTGTGACTCAGCCTCCCAAGTAGCTGGGATTACAGGCATCCACCACCATACCCGGATAATTTCTGTAGTTGTTTTTTTTTTTTTTTTTTTTTTGAGACAGAGTTTCGCTCTTGTTACCCAGGCTGGAGTGCAATGGCGCGATATCGGCTCACCGCAACCTCCGCCTCCTGGGTTCAGGCAATTCTCCTGCCTCAGCCTCCTGAGTAGCTGGGATTACAGGCACGCGCCACCATGCCCAGCTAATTTTTTTGTATTTTTAGTAGAGACGGGGTTTCACCATGTTGACCAGGATGGTCTCGATCTCTTGACCTCGTGATCCACCTGCCTCGGCCTCCCAAAGTGCTGGGATTACAGGCTTGAGCCACCTCGCTCAGCCGCCTTTGGTGTTTTTAATAAAACACCCCTGCCTTTGGTGTTTTTTAATAAAACAAAAGCTAATTGACATAGGGACATGCATTTCTACTTCACCAAAGTCCCCACCAACCCCTATTGTCTTCCATCTATTTCATTTATTCCTGTTTCTTGCCTGGTCCTTGAAGGCATTTGAGTTTGCCACTCATGGATAGAGCTTGGCATGGCAACTGCCTGGAACTTCAGTCCCAGTTCCTGGGAGGGAATCCTGAGTCTCATTCCAGCCACTTCTCCGCCCTCCAGCACCTTCCCCAATCCTGCCAACCATCATCTCCCTCCTGTCTCACTGCACCGGTCTCTTCTCTGGTCTCTGTGCATACAGCTGCATATATATATATATATATATATATATATAATTTATTTATTTATTTATTTAGAGATGGCGTTTCACCATGTTGGTCACGCTGGTCTTGAACTCCTGACCTCAGGTGATCCACCCACCTCAGCCTCCCAGAGTGCTGGAATTACAGGCGTGAGCCGTTGTACCCGGCAACAATATATTTATTATCCCAGTTTCAGTGTGTGGAGAATGTGTGGATGGTTCAGCCTTATCACAGTCACACAGCAGTTGGGAAGCCCACAGAAACTGCAGGTTGTGGTCGGGAGGGGGCCTGCCATCCGGCCGCCTTAGGGGTCCAGAACTTGGCTTTGGTGCTGCTCTGCTGCCATCTTGTGGCAGGCACAAAAACAACCGCCCTTTCCACCTGGACTTTCCCATACTCTAACCATTCTTGACGTTTTAGAACTTGCTTTTCAAATTTTTTAACTTTTATTCTCCCAGTTGCTGAATAGATGATAAAGTCACATGGTTTAAAATTTATAAGGATAAACAGGGTCTTCCTCTTTCTGGGGAGTCTAGCTTTCCGTCCAAGGGAAACATTCTATGTTATTTGTTTCTTGTGTATCCTTCTGGGAAAAGTTCATGTTTATACAAAAGCAAACAAATAACACACATACAGGCACACCGCCACCACCAAGAACAATCCCCAAAACATGCTCAGCCTTTCCCAGTAATAAAAGGGTAATTTGTTTCTGATCGGGTGCAGTGGCTCACACCTGTAATCCCAGCACTTTGGGAGGCTGAGGCAGGAGGATCACTCGAGCCCAGGGGTTGGAGACCAGCCTAGGGAACATAATGAGATCCCTTCTCAACAACAACAACAACAAAAAAAACATTATCTCAGGCTCAAGTGATTCTCACACTTACTGGGATTTTTCCCAGCTACTGGGAAAGGATGAGGTGGGAGAATCACTTAAGCCTGAGAGGAGAAGGTTGCAGTGAGCCAGGATCGCACCACTGCACTCCAGCCTGGGTGACAGAATGAGAGACCCTGTCTCAAAAATGAAAAACAAAAAAAAGCTTAGTTATGATCCTACCAGCATCTAAGTTACATGAACACATGGAGTTTTTCAGTAATGTTCCCTGATAATTTCCAGTGGCTAGAACAGTGCCTGGCACACAGGTGCTCAGGAAATAGATTTCAATTTGTAGTCATGGGAAATGTCAAACACAGAAACACAGCAAGTAGAATAATGAACTCTGCCCCCCCCCCCCACATTCCTATCACCCAGTCTCAGCAAACTTGCCTCGTCTACACCCCCACCCACTTTTCCCCACAACGGATTTTTAAATCAAAGCCAGGGAATCGGCCGGATGCTGTGGCTCATGCCTGTAATCCTAGCACTTTGGGAGGCCGAGGTGGGTGGATCACCTGAGGTCAGGAGTTCAAGACCAGCCTGGCCATCATGGTGAAACTCCGTCTTTTAAAAAAAAAAAAAAAAAAGCCAGGGCATCATCATATCCTTTGATCCATGAATACTTCAAATTGTATCACTTTTTTTTTTTCTTTTTTGAGATGGAGTCTTGCTCTGTCACCCATGCTGGAGTGCAGTGGTGCAATCTCAGTGCACTGCAATCTCCGCTTCCCGGGTTGAAGCGATTCTCCTGCCTCAGCCTCCCGAGTAGCTGGGACTACAGGCGCCTGCTACTCTTCTTCTTCTTCCTCTTCCTTATTCTTCTTTTTCCTCCTCCTCCTCCTCCTCCTGCTCCTTCTTCTTATTTCTTCTTTTTTCTTCTTCCTTTTTAAAGTCTCACTCTGTTACCCAGGCTGGAACACAGTGTTGTGGTTTTGGCTCACTGCAACCTCTGCCTCCTGGGGTCAGGAATTCTCCTGCTTCAGCCTCCTGAGTAGCTGGAATTACAGGTGTGCATCACCATGCTCGGCTAATTTTTGTATTTTTAGTAGAGGCAGGGTTACACCATGTTGGCTGGCTGGTCTCAAACTCCTGACCTCAGGTGATTTGCCTGCCTCAGCCTCCCAAAGCACTGGGATTACTGGTGTGAGCCACTGAATCTGACCCAAATGTGACTTCTTGAAGCTCTCCCTTACCTCAAGGAACAGAGCCTGGCTCTTCCATTCTGGCATTAAGCACAGGTCTACCGTTGCCTTCAGTTGCCTTCAGGACCACTGGGGTCCTGTTCCAGTGATTCTAGGGGACTGAGTCTTTGGCCACCTCTAAGAGTCCTGGAACAATCTCAACCCACTGTTTAGGTTGAATGATCAAAGCAGAAAGTCCTGGCTTCACTGAATCAAAAATGTCGCTTCGAGAACTGGAAGCTGTTCTGATGTTTTCTGCACAAAAGTGTAAACATAGATTCAAGTTCTAGTGATCTGTGCATCCAAAATAATTTCATACAAGGCCCTGGCTCTGACCTCAATGGAGCGTATGGAAGACAAGAAGATACTCTTAAACCCAGCCTGCTGCAAACACTGGTTACCCCCAGCATGAAAAAGTGACACCCAAGGAAGTGGCCATTCTCTTCTCAAGAGGTGGCAAGTCTAGGCCCTTCTTGCAGAAGCAGAGCTGCATATACACTTTCTTTCTTTCTTTCTTTCTTTCTTTCTTTCTTTCTTTATTGAGACAGGATCTTGGTCTGTTGCACAGGCTGGAGTGCAGTGGTGGGACCTGGGTTCAAGCAGTCCTTGCCTTAGCCTCCTGAGTAGCTGGGACTACAGGTGCATGCCAGTATGTCTGGCTAATTTTTGTATTTTTTGTAGAGACGGGGTTTTGCTGTGTTGCCCATGTTGGTCTTGAACTCCTGGGCTCAAGCTATTCACCTGACTCAGCCTCCCAAAGTGTTGGGATTACAGGCATGAACCATCATGCCTGGCCAAATTGCTTATCCTTCTTTCTCTCTCTCTGTTGCCCAGGTTGGAGTGCAAGAGGCAGGATCATAGCTCACTGCAGCTTTGAACTCCTGGGCTCAAGTGATCCTCCCACTGCCCCCTCCCAAAGTGCTGGGATTACAGGAGTGAAACACTGCACGTGGCCTCCTTATTCTTTTCTCTCTCTTTTTTTTTTTTTTAAGACAGTATCTCGCCCTGTCACTCAGGCTGAA